CAATTCATATGTACGATATCCTCAATGTAAAACAATACATATGTACGATATCCTCAGTGTAAAACAATACATATGTACGATATCATCAGTGTAAAACAATACATATGTACGATATCCTCAGTGTAAAACAATACTTATGTACGATATCCTCAGTGTAAAATAATACATATGTACGATATGCTCAGTGTAAAACAATACTTATGTACGATATCCTCAGTGTAAAATAATACATATGTACGATATGCTCAGTGTAAAACAATACTTATGTACGATATCCTCAGTGTAAAACAATACATATGTACGATATCCTCAGTGTAAAACAATACATATGTACGATATCCTCAGTGTAAAACAATACATATGTACGATATTCTCAATGTAAAACAATACATATGTACGATATCCTCAGTGTAAAACAATACATATGTACGATATCCTCAGTGTAAAACAATACATATGTACGATATCCTTAGTGTAAAACAATACATATGTACGATATCATCAGTGTAAAACAATACATATGTACGATACCCTTAGTGATCCCCCCTCCAATCAGAGGGTCTTCATTTCAATTTTTCCGGTGGAGCATGTCCCCCTAGTAAGGCCTTTGTCGCGAGGGATGGTGAGCACATCTCGCCCCCCTCCAAGCAAAATTTCGTGCCACCGCCTCTGATAAACTATTTTACATGAGAGAGTTCATGTTATATTCCCACATTTTTTTTCTTAACGAACACTAGTAAAAACAACAATAACACAGATGCATAATTTACCTTCATTTATTGTTGAAATATTTAAATCGGTTTTATTTTTCAAATATGATCCATGTGTGGCAGATCTCGGAAATTACAGCAATTTGTATCTAAAATTGACTAAATATGAAAAACTAAACACTCTCATAATTTAAAGTTCTGAATGCCAACTGAAGCAAACAAATGAAATGGAAATAGTAAATATTTCCACCAACTTTTCAGTTTTGCTTTTGTTTTGAATGGAACATTTCCTATTACCATGGAGGTAAAAGACAGAATGTCCTTTACCTCTATGCTATTACTAACTACTGCGAACAACAGTCTATCAAACTGTTAATAATGATGTAACATAGATTGAACATTACTGACGATCACAATAAAACAATAGTAAATATCTGTGAGTCAGAATAGCGTATTGTAAACTGTGCAGCTTTTTCAGTTTAACGTGATTGTGAATACGTCAGAAAGGCATAATTTAACTGAACTTAACTCGAAGTTATTCGTAAAACATTAAAATCTCGACCAAAGCAATGTGACCGTATAACCCACAGTGTCACGACGCTTCGCGGATTGGCATTACGAGCGTTGTTCCACTAATCCAGATGATTGACAAACGTTTCCAGACCGGAGATAGAGGGTGCGGGATGTATTCCTTTTATTCATTATAATTTATAGATATATTTATTAACTTTTTTTGTGTGTTTTAAAGAAAAACATGTTGTCCGTTTTTCTACGCCCAGGTCTAAAGCCAGCCATACAATGGCATTTCCCTAAACATGCATGTGTAATCTTCTATAGAGTACACGTGTAACTAGTCTTGTCAGACAACTTGAAACGGATATTCCCCATATTCGTTTTACTTATTTTTCGTCAAAAAATCGGAAGATAAGTAATGATACGCGAGCCGTTTGAGTCGTCGACAAACATTTTCGATATAAAAGCGTCCTAATTGTATATAAGATCATATACAACTATTTGGTATTAAAATATTGTTTCTAACTAGCAAGTATAGTCATGTTGAGGCAACAAGCGAAGATACGCCCAAACTTCTGTTCTTTTAACTATGATTACAAAGTACAGTAACCAGGAAGATGTACATGTTAGTACATGTTAGTTATACGGTTATACAACAACACCAAAGCAAATTATGAAAGTGCAGAGTACATAATATCAGGAAGTAGTACAAAGTCTAATCGCCAGTTTTTTTTTTCTCGAAAACAATGTCCCTGGATGTGCTTGCGTTGTCGGAAACGGCTTACCGAAATGAATAGGTATGAATATAACAGAAAATCTTCCAAATGGACATTGAATACAAATACTAATATCTTCCAAATATAGAAAGTTTGCGACCACAGAGTGTTTACGCTACAAAATACATTTTACAGGTCTTTAAAGTTGGACTGCCTAATTCAAACTAAAAAAGGGCGGGGGAATTGAAAGCTGTTCATAACCTGCCATCTGGCTAGAGAACTTCTCAACACCCCTTTGTTTGCCCACTCCCTTCATCTTTTTTATATAAAAGATGAACCAGGGAGCTGTACACAGACTGTGACATGTGAACAAAATCAGGAAGATACTCCACCTTTACTAAAGTTTTTTTAAAATGCTCCTTCCCCTAAACAAATCTTAAAACGTTCTCCTAACTTCAAGAAAGTTGTGTGTGATATTGAGTTGAATCTGGGGGCTGAGGCTGAATCGAGGTAGTATATAATATTCGAGGTACCGCCACAGAAAGTTGTGTGTGATATTGAGTTGAATCTGGGGGTTGTGGCTGAATCGAGGTAGTATATAATATTCGAGGTACCGCCACAGAAAGTTGTGTGTGATATTGAGTTGAATCTGGGGGCTGAGGCTGAATCGAGGTAGTATATAATATTCGAGGTACCGCCACAGAAAGTTGTGTGTGATATTGAGTTGAATCTGGGGGTTGTGGGTGAATCGAGGTAGTATATAATATTCGAGGTACCGCCACAGAAAGTTGTGTGTGATATTGAGTTGAATCTGGGGGATGTGGCTGAATCGAGGTAGTATATAATATTCGAGGTACCGCCACAGAAAGTTGTGTGTGATATTGAGTTGAATCTGGGGGCTGAGGCTGAATCGAGGTAGTATATAATATTCGAGGTACCGCCACAGAAAGTTGTGTGTGATATTGAGTTGAATCTGGGGGCTGAGGCTGAATCGAGGTAGTATATAATATTCGAGGTACCGCCACAGAAAGTTGTGTGTGATATTGAGTTGAATCTGGGGGTTGTGGGTGAATCGAGGTAGTATATAATATTCGAGGTACCGCCACAGAAAGTTGTGTGTGATATTGGGTTGAATCTGGGGGCTGTGGCTGAATCGAGGTAGTATATAATATTCGAGGTACCGCCACAGAAAGTTGTGTGTGATATTGAGTTGAATCTGGGGGTTGTGGGTGAATCGAGGTAGTATATAATATTCGAGGTACCGCCACAGAAAGTTACCAAATTTGCCCTGGATACGATTGGTAGTAGATTTTAGAGTTGTTTTATTAGAGATATATAAAATTAGCATATCACTGATATATACTGGTGAAGTTGACTAATAATTTACTTGTAAACTAGCAGCAGGATTTTATATTCAATTAATCTATGCTTTACTAGTGCAGCTTGATGTGTTTAGGTGTTATGTGGTCGTACACGTCGTTCACGTAGCCTACCCAGTGGTGGTCGTACTTGAATTAACATATCTGCACTATTTTGGACCTTTTGTTATAGTAGCTACGACATCTGAGCATATGAAATGCCACACAACGCAACAGACTATTGCAATATTCTTACCCAGAACTTATAAATACATGGACCAATATTTCAGTAGCCTCTGCAATTGGACATTCCTTAATCTGTGATTGATTGAAAGTACGGTGTCCTACGTATGATAGTAGAGACGTGATACGTCATATTCGTTTCATGATCGAAAAGAACACCAAGACTTCGAAAACTCGCACTAACAAGCAAACTTGTCCCATCACACTATGTGAACGCAACTTAAACCCCTGCCCTCACAATACGTTCTTGGAATAGCCTTTTTTTTACGATCAGTTCCATTGACTGCACCTGTAACCGTAGTCTGGGTCGTAGTATACATCAGACAACAGTGGCGGATCCAGCAAAATGTATTGGGGGGGGGGGTCCAAGCTTGGCTTAAGATAGACGGAGCGTAAATCGCAGAGAAGCTATGCGTAATCCAGATCATATGAATCGTCATGCATGGCCCCCTGCCCCCCTCTGAATCCGCCACTGTCAGACAACCAATCTAATTGGGTTATTTAGTACCTTCCATCACGGTTTCTAAAAAAGAAATGCTTCCATGTTAACACTAAACAATATGACGTAATTCCCAAGTAAATAACACACTGGGCGACCGGTTGTTTTTATTGACAGGTATTTATCTTCATATCTCGGAATGTTTGAAAGACGCATCACCAAGTTTCATGAGTCTCTCGTCACAAGCGGCTCGCCGGGACAAGTAGCACAGCGGCAGGAGACTTGGACCGGGTTTAACACCGACATACCCTGGACTGGAGTAAATGACTGGTTCCGATTTACATTGTGATAATTTAGTATAACCCAGTATGACCCAGCTGTGGTATTTTTTTTCCAGTTAATATATAATGAAAAAACTTAGAAATTTGGGGTTACAGGGGATTTCGCGGTAACACCTCTATGTTTTATTTAATTTAACTTTAAAAAGAAATAAATCGCCCAGACTGTGCCAGTCTATACAACCCACTATTGAACAAATACGTACAATGACGATTGTGTCTCGAAAATACTACCACGTTATAGACTTTGAATAAATTAGATCAACAAACACGATTGGGGACCCATAGTACGTATGCAAATCTAAACCCCATTCTAGACCAAAATTAAAATACTTACCAAGAACACAGCACTCCGCCGTCTGTCATTTGTATCCCCCTTTCGGTCTCGGAATAATTCACCCGCCGCGCCATGTACCCTCGGTCCTGTCTCATAATGGAATGGTCGGCTTACGACCTTCCCACACGAAAAGAGTGTTTTCACAAACTTTCTGACAAGGGACACTAGGGAATACATGTTTCCCGTTTAATATATAGAGAGACTGGCTGACTACGTTTAAAACTGAACGAAACGCAATTATAAGGTGGCAACACGGTCTTTTTTTTTTTTTTTAGTAAACGCAACTTTATTCTACTTTATTTTTTTCGTTTTTAATATGGCACCGTCTGCGCACAGGGACAACTTCATAGTGGTTTGTAACAGTCCCTATGTTGAGTCCAAAAATAAAACAATAAAATAAAATAAAATAAAATAAAATAAAATAAAATAAAATAAAATAAAATAAAATAAAATAAAATAAAAAATAATAATAATAAAAAAAAAAAACACAGAAAAAACATTACCTGTGAATTTATTCACGTGAGAATCACAAACATACCTTTTATTTGCATAATAGTACAGGACAGATAAAAATGCCGGTGTTATTATTATTCACTTCAAATAATTATGGAATATTTTTGAGGCATCAAACGTACAATAAAACATTTAGTTATTCGAAATCTGGTTCCGACACTAAGGTATCGCGTGCCATCAAATAGCTCATACAGGCCATGTGGCAGGCCAAAATAAATTCAACACATATAAATAAAATGAACACAGGACCTTTTTTCAAAGACGAGTGCTGCCGGGATACGCGGCAAGTGAAGCATGAACGTATAGCTTTGATAACTTTGCATATCTCATAACCCCATTCCCGCTAAATTCGTCACGTGTAAATTAGCATAAAGACTCTGCCTGACTCTGCGTGTGTACTTGTCGACATTCGAACGACGCGTTGGTCATGTGTAAACTTTCTGAGTTGTGATTGGTGAAAAACTTTACGGGATGTTTAAATGAACCAATCAACGGGCAGCCAATGTCGCCTTGAGTGAACAACTAATTTGCATAAGTAGCGTGGGTCTTGTTCTATCCAGCTCTGCTGCAGCAAACAACTCCATTGCTTTCAACGAGGTGAGTATGGTTCTTTATTTTCGTCTAATGTCACAGAAAAATAAAAATATTTCTTTCGTACCCACAGTAATGCATTCTAAATATCCCAATTTCACTTTTTCTCGTTGTTTTTTATTGCGCGATGGTTGTGTTAGCGGTGAAAACTGGCACGTAATCGGAGCGAAATTTCTAACTGAGTCTAATGTATAACATCAATATGGCGGCCCATTAGGTCAATGGTTTCAGCATGCAGACTGGTTATCTTTTTTAAATCGCAACATTTCTCTGTAGTATATGCAACTTCCTAGGTGTGTGCACGCTTCGAACACCCTTTTTCTACCACTTTGGAAATTTTGTTTCTATTCCGTGTTTTTTTGTCGAAGTTTTTACAGAATTAAGTTGACAGCTCCTTTGTCTGGGCTCGCTCTATGGAGAAAGCCATGTAAAATTTCACCCATATTTTCTCCCTTATAAAAATCTCGTCCACTTTACCTATAGAATGCTATGCAGCACTACCACGATGTGACAAATCATTCACTGTTTTTTACTGAACAGCAGAGTTTCAACATTATCTCCATTTTTGGACAGATAGATGATTTTTAGCAGGAGTTTCATTGATGGCAGTGGTGATCGTGTTTTACTGACGTTGTTTTTCGGCTTTGTTTGACCCTCGAATATCTGCCATGTTTTTCCATGACGCCATAGCCATGTTGCTTGCTGTATTTTTTCCATAGGAAATTTAGATACGTTTCGTAGCCCTATAGTAAACCACAGTATAACGGTACTTGCCTGTATACTATATTACATTTTTTTTTGCATTTATTTTTTGACAATGTTGCTTGAATGTACATGTAGTAAGATGTTTTTCCTCGTCTCCACGGCGTTTTTTCCTTTGTTAGGCAACTCTCAGTGTTGTTGTTTCTGGTTTTCTCACTTTTACCGTGCGTCTTTTCAAAACCCGTAGTCCACAAAGAAGCCGTATGCGTTACTATACAATTTTCTACAGGCGTCGTGTATTGTACAGTTCTCGGTATTTTTCGCATTCGTTGCAAACTCTCGACACTGTCTTCGATATAAAGGTTGAGAAATTGAATTTTTAATTATTTTCTGGGCGTGGGGTTGTTAGATTGCGGGAACCGCCATGTAAATTTGCTGTTGCTTTAGATTTCTAGTACCTATCTGGCTTTACTACTAGTATTATTATAATCTACATAGTAACCACAACGTTTCTTTATGTTTTGATTTTTTTCCCCACATGCAAAAATATTTTTTTCTCGTGACAATTTTATGTTGAAAAAAATCTTCTTGATGTACTAGTATATAAATTGAGCTGTCATGTAATTTTTTTTACAGCTGAATATTTTCTATAAAAGTTGTCACTTGTTTTGGTCCAATGACGTACAGTCATTGTTGGTTGTATTGTACTTCCAGTTGTGATCATGTGGTTTATTTTTTTACCATCTCCTTGATCGCTTGAAATTTAGTCATGCTTAATTTTTTTACATTCCCACATTTTCTTTGTGAATGTGACAGTCTTGCTTTGTTTTTTTTTGTAGCCTTTTCCAAGTTTGTATTGTTGAACTAAAGTTGAAAATCATGGGCAAGAAAGGCAACCCAGATAAGCCAAAAGGACGCATGTCTGCCTATGCCTTCTTTGTGCAATCTTGCAGACAAGAACACAAGAAGCAGCATCCAGCAGAAAGTGTGGTCTTTGCTGAATTCTCAAAGAAGTGTGCTGAAAGATGGAAGGTACGGTACAGTAGTAATTATGAATTCTTCCAATTTAGTAATTTGAAATTTTCTTTAGCAGTAGAAATAAATTTGTGCTTTTCTTAAAGTGTTTTTGGACCAAATTAAATGTAATTTTTGTAATTTAATTATTTTGGGTTTAATGCAAATACCGAAAACATTATGTCAAGAAACTATGTTAAAATGTCATAGAAAATAGCCAATATTTGCATTGTTTACTCTGGTTTCTATGATGAAATTATTTCTTTATATAGTAATTTCTTATTGACATTTATTAAAGTAGAGTATCTTTTCAATATTTTTAAAACATTTCTGAATTTTTTTTTGAGTTTTTCCATTGCAGTGGCATTTTTAGTAGTATATCAACTCAAACTCCCAAATTTGGCTTGTTCAACAGAAAATGACAGATAAGGAAAAAAAAGTGTTTCATGACATGGCCGACAAGGACAAAGAGCGATACAATACAGAGATGGAGAAGTACACACCACCAAAGGGAGAAAAGAAGGGAAAGAAGCGCAAGCGCAAGGACCCTGATGCACCAAAAAGGAATTTGTAAGTTTGCGACTTTTTGCTGAGAAATGTCTGGTTCCATTGTATTCAAAATTTAACATTATCAGCAATTTTGAAAAACGAGTCTAGTTGGGTACTTGGGTATAATTTAACTGGTACAAGTTAGAGTGTAACACGCTATCTGTATGAGAGTTTGTGCGACTAGCACATTCTGGATAGGACTATGAATATTCAGTCAGTGAACTTTAGGCATAATGAATTGCTGTCCACTTAATGGTGTCAAATTGATTCATTTTTAATCCATGTGCATTCAAATTTTGAATTTTTGTTTCTTTTTGTCAGGTCGCCATTTTTCTTGTTCTGCAATGTTAAAAGGGCTGAAGTAAAGAAGGTACATCCTAACTGGGGAGTAGGTGATGTGGCTAAAGCACTCGGTGAACAATGGAAAAATGTGTCAGCAGCAGATAAGGCAAAGTACGAGAAGGAGGCAGCCAAAGAAAAAATAAGATATGAAAAGGTAAGACTTGTCTCAAACTCTCTCCCTGATTAGTGGATGTTTGAGTGGTTACTTGTGGTTTGAATGAATATTAATTAGGGCTTGCCACCCTGGTAATCCAGACTTGTTAATGCACATAATTGAGTCGTAGTATAAGAAGTTAATAAAACTATTTATTTCAGGACATGGAAGCTTACAAGTCAAAGAAAGCCAAGTCACTTAAAGCAGAAGTTTCACCACCACCGGTAAAGAAAGTGGTCCAGATGAAAAAACAGGAGACATCAAGTTCAGAAGAGGAAGAGGAAGACAGTGATGAAAGTGACGTAGAGAGCAGTGACGAGGAATAAACTCCATATACTATGAACATTTTACTTTTATAGTGTCATTTTACTGAATATACTATTCCAACTGTCTGTTTTATCCTTGGGGAGGGGGGAAAAGAAGTTTTAGGCCAAAGAAAATTTGTTGGATCCATTAATGAACTGCATTCTGAGTAACTCCCACAGTCAGTTGAAATCCCCCATTTTTGTTTTTAGCCTTGTGCCATTGTCTAATTATGAATTGTGTTCAGTTGTAGTTGATCGCTATTTTGCAACACTACTGATCTGTTAAGTGCGAGGCTATATAGCATATATAAACACTGCCCACCCTGAGTCTTCATCTGTATGCAGATGACCTAAGTTAAGATGTCTTGCGAAATAGAGGGTGAAGTTGTTTAAAAATATAAAGTTAAATGATTTTTTAGAATCATGCTGTGTGCGTTACCTTAAATGTAGTATTTTTGGATATGTAAAGTATTACTAGAAGTGTTTTT